TTGGGCAAACTCCCATGAACCCTCAAGCACCCTGTGGAGGGTATAGAGCTGGTCCAGTGTTCCACGACCAGGACGAAAACCGCATTGTTCCTCTTGAATCTGAGGTTCGACTATTGGCTGGATTCTCCTCTCCAGTACCCTGGAATGACTTTTCCCGGGAGGCTGAGGAGTGTGATCCCCTGATAGTTGGAACACACCCTCCGGTCCCCTTTTTTGAAAAGAGGCACCACCACCCCGGTCTCAAACAAACAGGTCCAATGAGCAAAATAAAACGACTGGAGAAGTATTCAAGAAAATCTCGTACAACAGTTACCAGTATGGGGGGGAGTGGTTTTCGGCTTACCGGGTGTATGTTTAAATGTTGTAGGCCAATGGAAGAGAGAGGTTAGGCCTCTTGTGGCCAATGATATTATTGTTATTGTATCATGGTTGTGCCTGCAGTCACCACTATGTGGCGCTGCTGTTCCATGATTCAGCAGTGTTGGAAGACATTTCATGAACCTTTTGTTGCTGAACGCGGTGTTAACACAAGGGAAGTGGATGGAGCCATAAGGTCCAGCAAACAGGGGGTTATGTAGATCAAAGGGAATGGATGAATCCTTGATTCCCTGTAAAGATTTATATCTTCATCCATCAGGATTGTTTTGGAAACAACAGTGAGTCGTAAATTATACACCTGGGAAGACCTTTGTAGTGTATATCTGTGTCTTATCAGCTACTTGCTTTCAGACTTAAACCAATGTGAAAACCACTGAAATCTAACACTGTACTGTTATTTACTTTCTATTTTCAGCGTCAGACCCGTGTGTGTGTGTGTTGCTCCAAAATTGACTGACTTTGTTTTCACTTTTTATGCCAGAAAAATGACGTACCAGACCAGACGTACCAAGCTGATGATTTTACCGCAGTTATTTAACACGACACAAAGAGTACGCTGCCGCGGCAAATACACGAGAATTTTTTATTTTTAAAGATGATTTTAACACTATGATTTCTGTAACATTATACTTGAATATCAGCGAAATTATGTATTACTTATTAGGTTAAGAAGTACCAGCTAAGATTTATCTGAGAGCCAGATGCAGTTATCAAAAGAGCCACATCTGGCTCGTGAGCCATAGGTTCCCAACCCCTGGTTTAGAAAGTGCTACAGAATAAGCAGAGGATCAACTCCAGTGCTGAACAAAGGCTCCATGTCATTTCAACCTCTAACCCTCCGACTGTGCATTGTGATGTTTTTCACGATCTTCACGACATCAGCATTAACTGTTGCAGTACCTGAGCAAGTCCCTCCAACATGATGTAAAGTGAGGCTGAGCTGACATTTGCACTTCATCATTGCTGCCTTTTACCCATGGACAGATGTGCTTTAAAACGCCCCCTGTTGGATCACACAGTAATTTATTGTGTTAGACATCTTGATTTTAAAAACCTTCTATGGCTGTTTTTTTTTTTTTGCACATTAAGTGACAGGTCAAGTTAAGAGCTAACGATGAGTTTTAGGATGAGTCTACTTATTTTATGAATTTGTGTTTTCCACAGAGTTACTTGTCAATGAGTATTAAAAAAAAAACACCTGAGTAAAATGTGTGTTCAAATTATAGATGGTTTCAAATCCCTGCAACTAATAATCAATCAGTAAGATGCAAGAGGAGAATCATCATCCTCCAGGTGTTTCATCATAATTCTTGCCATATTAACTTTTACCTTTTACTGTGGACATTTTTGTTTAATTTTTCACGTAGGAACTATCACAGTTAAGGACTCTAACTCCCATAGTTCCTGCTTCCACTGGGGAACTCACATACGTAACGATCAGTGACCTCCACAACCTTTAAATTGGGGGGTCAGCCCCAATTTCAGTCTCTCTGTTCAGGATCTGCGTGGGACCCCTGATGAAAAGAGAAACGTGCTCGTCTCATAAGAAGAAGAACCAACGCGCTCTTGTATTCACCATTGCGCACGATAAGTGCATTCGTAGCGTCTTTCTTTCATAACTGAGTTATAACTGGTAATTAAGTTATGTACGCCCATAATAATTGTTCATCTGTATTTAGAATATTCTAGTTTTTGTTACATAAACAGTAGACAAACCAATAATTTACCTAAACCTTCATTAAACTTCGGAAAATTTCCATAGACTTTGAGAATCCCAACCAGAACCAGGTCGTGTGCCCGACAGGTATGGCCGCCCGCTGCTTCACCTCGCCCATCATTTTGTTTGTTCTTATACTTAAGGTATTTGTAACTGTTATTGTAGGACGACTGTTTGTGTGCTGCTCCGTGCTCCCTGTGTGCTGCTGTGGTCGTTGGTCGGTGGTAAGTGTTGTGTCTCTCGGCGTTGTGCTTGGTGCTGCTAGGTGGCTAATGCTGGTCTGGTCACAGGTGGATGCTGGCGGCTGGAGACATTGTTACGTGCCACTGCATTAATCTTATTGCATCTAGCACATGCTAATAGTGTTTTCCTTTGACTAGGTGTTGTAACCACCTCATTGGACCGGTGCTACTTTGTTTGGTGTTATTTTGTACTGTTTTGTTTGGTGTTATTGTGCTGTTTTCACTGTTTTACCGTATCTGTTGCTGCCTACGGCGTTCTTCTGCGACCGTCAACGGCTTCACGACTTCCAAGATGCACCCTGTTTTTATTTTATTTTATGTGAATGAGTTTTATGGAGTATACTTTTTTTAAAAAAAAACAAAAAAAACAAATGTTGAATAAAATTTGTATTTTCAAACTTTGAACCACATCTCTTGCCTTCCAGTAACCACGAAACTTTGTGCCTTGTGTTTGAGAAATTCCCTGGGTGAAATTCCCAGGGTGGCGTTGTCGTGCTTTTTTCCTCCTTAATAGTCACGTAACTTTTCACCCCCCCACACACTCGTACGCCGTCAGTATTTGTGTTAACTTGTAACGTTATAAGTATTGGGATTAGGAAAACTCCGACAAAGTCCTTTGTCTTAAGTGGACCCCGCCGTACGCCTCCCTTTCCATATACTTTGATAACATCACAAGCACTGTTTTATTGTACCTGAGCGCATCTTGGTGCGCGTACACAACCTCTTCCACACCTCTGTGAGCGCATACCCGCTTCGCGTGATTCCTGTTGCCCCCCCTTTCTACCCCGCAGCTCTTCTTCCACTGCGTAGTCGCGTATGTAAACACGCCGCAAGGGCTCAGTCGCTTGCTTACACGACTACTCGTGTACACACGCACTATTGTGCCTTGTTTAGTTTGTCTCAACTACTATCATTAACGTGATAGGGTTGTGTTAATAAATTTGATTATTTTTGTAAACTTTGTCTGTGTTGTTACTTTATTCATTGAAGCCAACCAATTTGCCAAGAACTCCAGAAAACCCTTCAGATATGTGTTTGTGAATACTAGTAGTATTACATTAATGGGTGTGTGTGTGTGTGTGTGAAAAGTTACGTTGAAAAGTTACGGAGGGTTACGTTGAAAAGTTACGAAGGGCAAGAGACGTGGTTCAAAGTTTGAAAATACAAATTTTATTTAACATTTGTTTTTTTTTTTTTTTATAAAAAGTATAAGCCATAAAACTGTCACATAAAATAAAAGAAAAACCTAATCAGGGCTGAGGCCAAAGTGGATGGGCAAGGGCTAGTGCAGGGGCAGGATCCACCAAAATAATGCAAAAATAACTTAAATCACCAAGAACACGTGGCAAACACCCTCAGTGAAGAAACCACTCCCAGGGACACAGCAACATACGACGGGAGGACACCACCACCACTGACCTACAGCAACTGAAGAGGAAAAAAAAGAATAGCACACGGTCGCAGAAGAACGCCGTAGGCAGCAACAGATATATGGCAATACAGTGAGAACAGCACAAAGGAGTTGGACTCCAGCCGCCAGCATCCACCACCGGCCAACGACCACAGCAGCACACGGAGCAGCACACAAACAGTCGTCCTGTCGG